GTACGATTTTCGGCTGGTTTTTAGCATGCTCGGGAGACAAATGCCGAACAGGCCGGTGTGCGCACGCGCATTGTGCATTGCGGTCATCGGAAGCCCGTCCCTCGGGGGGGCGGGCTTGCGATGATCGCAAGTACGATCTGCCTGTCCAAGATGGGCAGATTGTACGTTTTTTAAAATTACTTTACAACCATCGCAAGACTAAGGTCTTGCGATGGTTGTAAAGTGTATGGCCACCTTAACTCTCCAGACACTGAAGCTTAAATCCAATGTAGTTTACTTCTCAAAGTACACTACAGAGCTGTGGTTCTCAACCTGTGTAACCTCAGGACCCACATTTCTACTTGGTCATTAAGTTGCGACCCACGGCTCTATATACACTGATCTAAATATAAAATATCTCTCGCATACATACAGGTACATAGACGAGGTAGATCGGCCTCACTCACCACCCTTTGCATGGGATGATTCTCCAGCAAGCTGGACAATGATTTCCATAGCAATCTGCTATTTCTGACCCTTACACACGGCCTTTTTATTGTTTCCCCTGTTCAATGAAAAGTGGAATCTTATAAAACAAATTACCATTTGTATGTCCACCCACAGCTCTCACGTAAGACCTGAGATAAGTCTGCTGCACAGGGATAAAGGTCGGGATACATTTCTTGCATACAGAATTTAAACAGATACAATAGAAGAAGTGCAGGTTACTTACACAAAGACCACAATGCCGAGCTCATCCAGCAATGCCCACAACATCAGAAGAATTGGCAGTGGAGATCTGCAGTGATCGCATCAGGTTGCTCTCCACTGACGGTCCAATCCCAGAGTCTGTACAGCAATCAGCTGGGGAGTCACTGACAGCCCCATCATCCAGCTCTGCACCGTTTCTCCCAGCATCTGCCCGCACGCCTCTCCTACCACAGGGGTAAGTCCACCCCTGGGGGAGCCCTACTGGTACCGGTATTTGCCCATTTCCAGTCAACACTCCTGTCCATGTGTGACTCGTGTGAAACTTTCCCACCCGCGCCCTTCTCTCTGCTCCTGCCTGACCTCGACTGCTGCAGCGACATCTGGTGGCGCGGCGGGAGAACTGACACTGCTGCACTAGGAGGAGGCTAAGGAGCCTCTTACCTAGTGCAGAAGGCACGCGGCGACCCCCTCAACAGGGGGCTGCGACCCACTTTTGGGTCGTACTTGAACAGAAACAGGAACCATACCGCACTCCTTACCGGGATTCCCACTTGATGAAGGTGGGTGCTCGAAATGACTGCAGATGGCACCGCCACACATGAACAATAGAAAAATGTCACCAGCACACCATAAGCTGAAAAAGCTAAATATTGTATTGCCAATAGTTGTATATCATTGGCAAGCGCTTTCGGGGCCTCGCAGGGTCCCCTGCTCTGTAAGCCTGATGAAGGGGACCCTGCGAGGCCCCGAAAGCGCTTGCCAATAAAATATTTTGCTTTTTCCACTTATGGTGTGCTGGTGACATTTTTCTATTGTCCACTTTTGGGTCGTGACCCACCAGTTGAGAACCAAGGCTACAGAGAATGCTCTCTGGTCACATGAAGTATAAAAAAAAGAAAAGATCTTCGGCGATGAAGACTAGTAGTAAACTGAGGGGACATGGAAGATACAGTATCTAAGGCTATGCCAAGTGACACTAAACAAGAGAACAGTGGGAGATACAAATGTATATAGGAAACAAGTTGTAGTAGCGCTAATCTACCACTAGATGTCAGGCATATACAACATAATATGCAATGGCCTATATAGCAGTGGTTGTGGCAGCACAATGAGGTAGTGGAAGGCTAGGAGCTGTATATATCGGTCTTCTTCCCTATTGGTGATTTTTCTGGACAGGAAACGGCGGGAAAATCTTCACAACCAGGCCTCAGATTCCAGATAAATCTGGCAAGTTCTAACCTCCCTCTACCTCATCCCAAAATGTTTGGCAGGAGGAACACTTCAATAAAGACAAAGTAAATAGTGAGCTGTCAATGGTTATAAGGAGAATGGATTCTAGTGAGTTACGGTTTGTCACTGGAGTGTTACAGGTATAATCCTTAAACCCAAAAAGTCTGCAGACAATATCGGTTTCCATTCAAACAATATCAGCTTTTTATTATGAATGATTACAGCAGAGGCACAGATATGCAGCACTATAGCTGGAGCCGCCAAAGCTTTCCTTCTAAAATCCCAGAGGCTGGAGAAAACCAATCACACAACACAAAAACACATTGGAAACCCCAAAAGTACCCTTCTGGTATATTTGATGCTGTAATATGAGGCAGCAAAATAACCAACGTTGTAAATAGATGTGAAGAATCTCCCGGCCAAATGCTTAGGGTTCAAATTGTACGGCTGTGACTTGTAATTGACAACGCTGTGTTTATGCTCGCATCCATAGACAGATGTGGGAGGCCATGGGCAACCTTGCCTGAATGACATCAATCCTGATTTTTGAGGCCTAAAGAATTCCAGGAAAACAGCCAATTACACAATTCCTATAAACATACGCAATTCTGTTTCGCAAGGATTGACACTTTATTGCCACACTGTACAGCCAGGGGTAGGCAACCTCGGCACGCCGGCTGTTGTGGAACTGCAAGTTCCGTGAGGCTTTGCAAGGCTCTGACAGCCACATGTATGACCCCCAGTGGAAGAGGGATTATGGGATATGTAGATTCCACACAGCTGACGTACCATGGTTGCCATCCCCTGCTGTAGAGTCTGGCAGGTCTCACCTCTACTTCTCATTTTAGATGTGCACCTGCCCACTGGATAGCCAGGGCCCCCATCCCCTCCTAAAGTCCCCCAGCCTATCTTTTTTATTTACCTTTTCCAAAGCCTTTATGCTTTTTCTGTGACCTTGCAGGGTCCTTTTTCTCTTCTACAGGCTCAGCAGTCCTTATTAATGCAGAGAGCAGTGCTGACATAATCAGTCCCCCCAGGGGCGTATCTGCCGCGAGGCAAACAAGGCGTTTGCCTGGAGCGGCAGATTCGCTGAGGGCGGCGATGCTGCCTTGCCTAGGGCAAAGCTGCACATCCTCCCCCCCCGATTCCCGTAGATGGCATCACCCACCTCTGTATAGTGCGCTGGAGGAGTTGCAGCAAAGTTAAATACAACGCTGAGTCCCCCCCAACAGCCTACATTAGAGTCCATAGTCTTCCAGCTTGTGTATCAATAGGTCTCATTCAACCGGGAAGACTGAGGACATCTTGTGGCATAAAGTAAGTATTGCGGGGGACAGCGCTGAATTAAAAGGAGAATATTACAGCCCCAGCAGCTTTTGTTTTCTTAAAACAAAGGCCGGGGCCATTTTTAATAAATAAAAATGTAGTCACAGTTGGGCTGGCTGTGAGGTGTATGTGAATCGAAAGATGGGATGAACAGAATCACAAATTCTTTGGCAAGGACACCAGTTCACACGTAAATTTGAAGTCTGAATTTTGCATTGAAACTCAAGAGATGACTGCGCTTTCCTCACAGTATAAAAATGCTGCCAATGATCTTGTCCACATAACAATACAAAGTACATACCTGTACATCAGAAAAATACATGCACTTCACTCTCAGCGATTAGGACATGGGCCAGTTCTCAGAACATCCTCCATGAATCGTTAAAACACAATAAGTATTTGGTTGCCTCATCTTACAATGCAAAGTTAGGTGGCATTGCGCTATGAAACCGTATGCGAATTAAACATGGAGTCAAAAGAAATCCAAACGGGTTTAAAGAGAATCTGTATTCTGTACCTTCACCCCTCGCCTAGCAATACTCCTTCTCTTGCTACAGAATTTAAAATGGACCTTCAGCATACACAATACGAATACAATGTAAAAGCTTTGTTTATAGAATTCCTTATCCCTCTTGTGCTAATCATGTGCCTTCTGCTCACTGATAAGCCAGCTCCGCTTTGTTATCAGTTACCCAAACTCCTTCTTAAAAAGGAGAACTATGGGGTCAGTGTTTTTCCCCATAGTTCTCCTTAGGGTAACGGGAGGACATAAACTAGCGTCCTCCCGTCACCCAAAGCTCAGTATACCGCGAGTTACAGCTCACTATATACTGAGACACTTTACTGTCCAGATCCACCCAGCTGCAGAATTGACATCTGGCTCTGCCTATCTAGAGGCAGAGCCAGCTGTACCCGCCCCCTTCCCCTAGTGAGCGCTGGAGGATCGGACAGGGGAGGGATCCCTGCAGAGAGTCGTGAGTGACAGTCACGGCTCTCTGCAGGGATAGATTAAGAAGTGAGCGAGCGACGGTATGTGTTCCCTAACTTCCTGATCTATTGAGCCGACCTGTGACAGTCTCATTGTCACAGGTCAGCTCTAACTATGAGGATGAGTGATTTTCACTTGCCTCGTAGTTCTCCTTTAAGGGGTGATTTGGCACTGGTCACATGATTTGCACAGGAGAGAACTAGAATTACAGAATACAGATTTTGCATTTTGTGAATAGCTCTCAGGGTGGTTACTTCCAAAAGGTATTTTCATTCTAGAGTACAGGTCTGCCCTAAATCGTACCAGTCATTGATACACCATGTACTCCACAGGCCAGACTCTTGCCAGGCAGGCCAACCATGAAAAGATGTAGTCCAGAAAATATCTAATTTGTATTCCATTTACTCAAAATTTGCCTTAAAATTCCAACTTAGAAAAAAAACAAACAATAAAATAAATGCACATTGCTTCAGACTTGAAAAGAAATGTGCATTTATTTTTTGCATAGAAGCCAATAAAGGGCCAATCAATGGATCACAGGTGCAATCACTAACATGGACGGGGAGTGTCAATGGACTACAATGGTGCGATGATGTCACCCATCGGACCATGTGTCATGTTACCCCCCCAAATCTGGATGTAACATGAAACATGGTCAGAAAAGTAAACTTACCCTTTAAGTGATGACTATTTTAAAATGGCCAGGTCCTCTTTAGATTAAACCACAGGCTTTTACAGTGCTGCAGCACACATACACTCACACATGTAAAATAGAAGTATGAACCTTTATTAGGTGACATTAGGAGTGGTGGTTTCCCCTACTGGATTCCTCCTGGATAAAGAGAAAGGACCAAATTAGCAGGACACAGCACTCTGTACATCTCAAGGTTATGGATAAGACAGTGTTACTGCAGGGATCCAGTCATTAGCCTGGACTTGACCCGGCATGGAGTGGACGCGTGGATAAGTGCTCTGCATGATGACAAGACTTACGGGCGGATTTTGGATTGGTTTGTGTTCTGTGTGCGCAAAAGTTGGTTTTGAATGTTCAAAAGGAGTCACTTAAGACTCAGCGGTACAGAAAGTCGGCCTGAATATTTGCCCCAATTTCAGCCTCCCATTTGTCGCCATTGTTTAGGAGCTTCTCTTTGTTGTACAGGAGTTCCTCGTGGGTCTCCGTGCTGAACTCAAAATTGGGACCCTGCAAGAAACAGGTGAAAGTGAGTCAAGTCCCGCATCCCAAATACATTTCATATAATGATTCATTTATAATTATCGGAATATAGCTCAATATCAGTCTCCTATCAACCTGGGAAAGGGCAGCACCTGTAGCCAATCAGGTTCTGCTGCATGCACTTGTGCTGGCAAGAGGCGTAAGCCAAGATTGGCCTCATCGGTGTGCTGCTGCTTCATTGTCCAATCAGAAAGCCAGATTTGTGCTCTTGACCAAACTGTGCTGCTTCTGTAGTGGAGGACAAGGATCTGTCTGTACTGACTGGCAGGAATTTCTGGATCTCAAGTCTGGTCACAAATCTTGAGGCCGCCATCATATACATCACTTCAACTGTGTATTCTGCTGCCTACCTAGAGATCAGTTTTAAATGATGGCCCCAGTCAGAATTGTAAAACCGGTTTTAATGTCACCAATATTGCTTCTACACTTTGTGGAAATGTGGTCTGCCGCCTCCTCGAGGATTGATGTAGACTACTGCTGTGGCATTGTCCACCTTAACCCCTTCGTGACTGACTCAACTACCACCATTTTATTCTATAGGGTCTTGGCATTCAGAAAATATATAATGTTGGGGGGTTTTACGTCATTTTCAGGCCTAAAATGTGGAATATAACATGGGTGCAAAAAATGAAAAAAGGGCCTCAGTCATGAAGGGGTTAAATTCTAAAACGTTTATAATTTCCCAATTTTTTGGTAAAATATAAAATACGGGGTCTAGTCGGGTAAAGAGACACCAAACATGTCAAGACTTAAAATTGTGCACACGCGCGAAACCTCAAAAAAAACTAAATTACCCAAAAATTGGCCATAGGCGACGCATTAAAAGCTTTTACCACTCATCAGTTTAGTGTTATCAGTGATTGATGGCCCTAAAATGATTGCTTTCACTGCGACGTTCGCGGCGATATGTAACATGTGTAGCGCAATTGTCATTTTTGCGTGCTGGCGCATGCGACGCATATTTACGTTTAAATGTGCGTAAATGAAGGTGGGGGGGACTTAAACATTGTGGGTGGGTTTACTTTTTTTTATTTGTGACCTGTTATTTTTTTAAACTTTTTTTGTTTGTGACTTTTATTTTTTTTAACTTTTTTTATTTATATAGATTTTTTTTTTACACTTATTGTTATTGCTATTATATAGGGGGATACCATCCCCCTATATAATAGCACAGGTACACTGACAGGTCCTCTTTATGGAGACATTAGGGGTCCCTAGACCCCTAATGTCACCTGGAGACCCCAAAAGAAGCTGATGAAGCACAGATTTGCTTCATCAGCTTCTTCTATCTGGCATAGGAGCCAGATGACTGACAGGTGAATGCGGAAGTGATGTAATACACATCACTTCTGCATTCACACTACGGAGGGAGAACAGCAAGGAGCTGATCTCCCTCCCTCCTCCTCCTGATGCCCTCCCGAGCCGGTACCGGGCCGCTGATGGGGCAGCGGATCCCGGGATTAAAGGTGAGGGGTCAGGAGGGGGGAGATGGCGGCACCCGCGATCGCGCGGGGGGGGGCTCCGAAATTCACGCCATACAACCGATCAGCGGCTATAGAGCCGCTGATCGGTTGTATGTGAAACAGCCGTTAACGGCTGTAGTAACAAGCGGGTCTTTCCTGCCCGTGCGCGCGCGCTAGGGGGCGCGCGCGAGCAGGAAAAAAATGCCGTCTGGCGACGGCAACCCGCAGATAGGAGACGGCAAGAGGTTAAAAGACCATAATAATATCCCGACTATAGATCGAGAAGTGTTTTCAATTACAAAACACTGATCACTCTACTGACAGTCTCTTTCCTGCAAATAGCAGGTCATTCATCGCTGCCCTCAGGGATTTCCCCTTCTCCCCGCTCTGTTCCTCCAGTGCTCATTGGAGGGGGGCGGGCACAGAGAGAGACAGAGCCAACTGTCAATCAGGCAACAGACTGAAACCAAACAATATTGTCAGAATCTTTCCCAGCTTAGGAGTGGCTCTGCGCCGTCAGCGAATAGCGGGCAGTAGGCCACTAGATGTTGACTTTGGGTCACAGCAGTACACGAGTATATGAACAATTAACTAATTTGACCCAAAAAGAACTAAAGCCAAAAAAGCTTTGACTTTAGTTCTCTTATCTTTATCTCTGCATTCAAGATCGGGAGGGCTGATCTCCTACAGCAGACATCAAGTATTATTTAGTGCCTCTTTTTCTTTACATCTGGTTCCTGACACCTCTTTCCTGTTTTGTTGCAGTCACTCACATGTATATGGACTGTTATCTTATGGTCACTGAATGTGGATGCTGCCATGCGGACATCTCCTTCTGAAAATGCTTGGTGCCATGCTTATACCAATATTTTCAGTCAGGAGATGGAGTTTCTTTTCACATGTTTTTCAGTTTCTTTCTTCCACCTACTGAGGAAATCATGTTTACAAAGCGCTGTAGCTCAAACTGGAATTTACATACAAAGAGGAGGAGGAGTGACCAGTCTCCCTTCAGGCGGCTCCATCCATCCTTTATTATGGAAATCTATAACTTCTGACATGTGGTCTCTAAGGAAAACCCTTAGCAATCTGGAAATCTTATTGTATGAAATGTTTGCTGTGGTTTTTTTTTTTTAAAGTAATTGAGGAGCTTATTAAGTTAAATAAACCATAACAGTTCAGCTTTAGGCCTCATTCACACGAGAAAAGGCCGGCACGTACAGCTCCATGCACGGCCGTATCGGGCAGCTTCCGGGAAGGACAGGTGCTGTATGTGATTAGTACGCATCCCGTCCTTCTCTATATGTGTATGCGGCCATACGCCGCCCTACGCTCACCCGCCCTGCACGTCCATGTGGGTGCAGGTGTCCATACTCGTACGCTGACAGGATGGATCCTGTCTGTGTCCGAGCCGGACACCCGTACTTGGGGTGAGCGTAGGGCGGCGTATGGCCGCATACTCCAATGGGGGCTGCGTACTAAATCACACGCAGCACCTGTCCTTCCCGGGAGCTGCCCGATACGGACAGAGCTGTACGTGCCGGCCTTTTCTCGTGTGAATGAGGCCTTAAGCAAGATTTTCACTTTCAGTGACCCAACCACTGATTAGAAGGGATCTTCTTACTTGGAACCTCCCATGATCAGTTAACAGCTTTGCCGAGTTTCAAAGCTATGAGCACTCCCCATTCTTCAATGCAAAGCAGGCATCCTCAACACAGGCTGTGCCACTGCCAAGGTGACAGCAGCCTGCATCGATTCCTATTTCATATTATAACAGCTGATCAGCAGAAAACCTCATTCTCAGGACCACCATCACATGTGTTACCTCCACAATGGCATCCACAGGACAGGCTTCCTGGCAAAACCCACAGTAGATACACTTAGTCATGTCGATGTCGTATCTTGTGGTCCTGCGACTCCCATCTGCACGAGGTTCTGCCTCAATTGTGATGGCCTGGGTGGGGAAAAAAAAAACAAATAAAAAAAAAACGTTATTTGATGTACGATTAAAACCACACACATATGTCCAAGTGTGCTTTGTTACCAGAGTAAGCAGAGAGACCGTTCAACCCTTTTGTAACCAGAGGCCATTACAGCCTAGCTGCTCAGACCACATATTGCTTATAACTTCTTCAAACTACCTAAATAATTTTTTACACAGTTTAAGGACAATATCGTTTTTTTACTTGGTGCACGGTTTCAATAAAGTCCCTGTTTGTTGAGCAGTAGAAAAATGACAGCAGTAACAAGCCATACATTACATAAGCATGTATAAACAACGTAAAACATTGCCGTACAGCGTTGCTCGTAACAGTCTGATAAAGGTGATATAAGCACATAAAAAGGTTCTAAGGAGGTACATCACGTGAGCTAGAAATGGGTCTCTCTGGGCTCATCCTGAGGATAAGTTGGTGAGAGCGTGGATATGAGAGTTAGCCTATAAGGGGCTGGAGTCCAGCATCAAGCTGGTGGCAGAAGCCTCCCATTTGGGAGCCACGTCTTCAAGTCGAGCTATCATACATCTTATGAAACGCTTATAATGAGATGTAGTAGAGGGATAAGAAGGGCAAGAGGGGAGACTGAAGAGGAAAAGGTCAGAAGGAATGAGGAGGAAAGAGAAGAGAAGGGGGGAAGATGAGGGGGGATAGGGGAGTGGATGTCAGGTGGAACGTTGGAGCCCAACAATTGTACATGAGATGTTTGTGGCAATATCTTCATAAGAGGAGAAGCTGGCGATGAGTGTCGGATGGTGCATGTGCTGTTGACCACCAGGACCATATTTTTTCGAATTTGTGCGTGGTGAGTTCGAGTTGAGCTGTTCTCTTCTCAAACGACATTACCCAATTAACATGCCTCTTGACGTTGGGGACACTCAGCTTATTGGTGAGCCAAGATTTCGCCATCTCTCTTTTTGCTGATGTGAGAACGTAGAGGGACATTTTGAAGGCAGTCTTGGAAAGGCCTGCCGGTTTGCAACCGAGCAGTGCAAATTTTGGGATCCTTTGTGTTTTTTTTTATCATAAGCTGCTCCTGATAGTTAGTGTTAGGACCAGCACTGTCCGTGACAATGCAGTCTCGAAACCAGAGTTCCAAATTTGAATGTAGATTAACGTTTCCTCAGCATAGGGCATTGTGCTGTGGAATGGTAAAAACAAGGGTCAAGATAGGAATTCTTTTTGGATTTGGTTTTTTTTTTATCCAGCAGTTCGAGCCATCCACTCTTTGGGTTCTTTCACATGTGCGTTGAGACTTTGATGAAAGAACAACGCTGATTGACACCCCTAAGGGTGTTAACAAGGCATCCGGCAGGCATTTTCAAGGTATTAACGAGGCTTGCAAAATGCCCTGCAAGTAGGGGAGTGAGCTAAAGGGTCAAGTGATGTAATAAAGGGAAGTGACCGGCAGTGGTGACACTTCTATATTGCTGAAAGAGTCGCAGTAGCTGGGCAGACTCCGGTCATACAATTCTGGGTATTGCTCAGCTGCTTAAATTAGCTGTGCAACATTTATTTCAGACATGACTGGTTCCTTCAATGTCTGGCAATGGTATGGCTGGCACTGCTAAGCTGCCATTGGTATGGCTGGCACTACTTTGGATAACGCTGATAACAGCTGGCACAGGTCAGGCTGTCACAGGTTGCAAGTACCTGGCTAGAAGTGGTCCTCTTGCTGGCAAATCACTGTTTGTGTGCAGACAGGAAGTAGCATCCGCACCTGCTCTGTCCACTAACTGATTCCCCCAGTGGTTTTTGGGATTGCAAAACCTCCTGTGCAACGCTTCTTAAATGCCCGAAGAATGCTATAGGACCACTGGCCGAGCATTTGAGGGGCTTTTTAATATACTTCAATAGAGGCATTATTTCAGTGGCAATGCCTCCAGATTGCGACATGCACTCTATTTTTTGACACGCAGCAACACAACACCCATGTGTGAACAGCACTGGGCAGTTGCTATAGCTTCATCCCACATGGGCGTTAATAGGCGGCAGAGAGGCTTTAACTGGGCGCGCGCAAAATGCCCAATATTTAAAAACATGGGTATGGGGTAACGATCGGTGCCCCCTCCGCGGTCCCCCTCTCCTCTGCAAGAATGCGGAAGTGTTGTATATTACATTACTTCCGCATTCCATTCTTGTGTCACTCTCCAGCTTCAGAAGCTGGCAAGAAGCTGATGGAGCAGATCTGTGCTTCATCAGCTTCTTTTGGGGGGTCCTAGGTGACATTAGGGGTCTTGAAGACCCCTGATGTCTCCATAAAGAGGACCTGTCACATATTTTGCTATAACATAGGGGGATTTTATTAGCCTCTGTATGTGATTATTGCTATCACATATGGAGGCTAAATAAAATCCCCCTATGTGATAGCAATAAAGTTTAGTGAAAAAAAAAAATTAAAGTTCCCCCCAAACAATTTAAAGTTACACATAAAAATTAAATAAAAAAAAAACAAAACATTTTTTAAAGTCCCCACCCATACATACACGCATGCAAACATGCGTCGGGGGCGCATACGTGCAAAAAAGACGATTGCGCCCATCACGCCGCACGTTACATATCGCTGTGAACGTCGCAGTGAGAGCAATAATTCTAGGGCCATCAATCACTGATAACACTAAACTGATGAGCGGTAAAAGCTTTTAAAGCGTCGCCTATGGCCAATTTTGGGTATGGTTGTTTTCTGCGATTTCGCAGGTGCGCGCAATTTTAAGGCTTGACATGTTTGGTGTCTATTTACCCGACGTGACTGCGACTTTTATATTTGACCAAAAAACTGGGTAATAATAAATGTTTCCTAACAATGTAAAAAAAAAACTTTTTTCCCCCCAAAATTTTCAATAATTTTTCCTAATTATAGTAAAAAATAAAACACGTAGTGGTGATTAAATACCACCAAAAGAAAGCTCTGTCCCCAAAAAATGGTATAAAATTAATTTCAGTACAGCGTTGCATGACGGAATAAACGTCAGTCAAAGTACCGCAGCGCTGAATACTGAAAAATGGCCTGGCCAGGAAGGGGGTCTAAACACCTGGTCAGCAAGCAGTTAAAAACGCTTCTTTAATGTCTGGTTTTAACACGTGTGTGAAAGAGGCCTTCCTCTCCTAAATGCTCACATTATGGGCTTACTCACAGTGTGAAATCTGTTTCTTGTAGTCCATTGAGGGAGAAAGGAATTGAATGACTGTTGGGTTATACTGCAGCCTACAGGAGGAATTGGGACACTGGCCCCCCAAAAAAGGAAGAGAACACAACAGCCCAGTTTAACCCCTCCTACTCCCTGCATGCCTTAGTTTTATGGAAAAGCAAAAGCAGACCCAAGAGCATGATGTGCAGAAGAGTGGGACCTGTGTCCTTAATAAACTACAGGCAACACATTTTCCATTAAGTGCACAAAAGTTCCCATTTTCGTTAGCGTTCATTGAGGCACACAGGAATTCAATGACTGTTGGGACATCAACAGCAGTCCAACTGGGGGGTGGGTAGCAGCAAAAAAAACACTAATGACTCAACAATGTAATTGGGGGGCTGCCTGCAGCTCAATAAGCCACATGGAGGGCCTTACACCTGAAGCTGGCATTAGATGAGGCATGGAAGTCTACAAGGTAAAATTTGGACAACATGTAAACAGAGGACCAAGTGGCAGCCAAGCAAATCTGGGAAACCGTAACTTGATGTCAAAAAGACCAGGAAGATCACACAGGTCCAGTAGAGCGCTCCTTGACAGGAAAGAGTGGAACACAATCCTCAAGCCCATTAAATGGTGTTTTGTCTTAGTCACTAAGAAATGGTGCAACCAGAAGCAGATTCTCCTTTACGGGGAACATCAAGAATGACAAAGTCAGTTTTCTAATGGATGCGGTATCTGTGAGGTGGACACACATGGCACAAACTACATCCAAGCAATAGAGGGAGTTCTCCAACTGAAGCTGGACTGACAGATTGAGGAACAAAGTCTTGTATGAGGTGAAAAGCCTGACACTACCTTACGTTCTGTGCCTAAACACCACTTTGTCCTTGTTGGCAACCAGAATTGCAACCTTCTGAGAGTGGAAAGGGCAACATCCCTAATAGGTTCAAAGAGGAAGTTTTGAAGTGCAGAAAGGACCAAATCCAGAATCCACAAAGTCAGCAGGGAGTACACAGAGGGAGCCACAAGAGAGACAACCTGTACAAATGTCTTAATCAAGGTATGGCAAGCTAGTGTTTTTTTGGAACAAGATGTCCTGCACTAAGATCTGGCCCTTGCTGGGTCTCAAGGCCAATTGTTGACCCAAGTCTCATTGTAGAAAGACCAGGATTCAGGGATATTTTTCTGGGAAGAAAGTTCCTTTCCTTGCACCAAGTGAAGTAGGTCTTGTATTTACGATGACTGACCTTGCAGGAAGTGGATTATGTTACTTCCAGCATCGTGGGAATCACAGAATCAAAGATCCCCCTATCCCTCAAGACTTTGGCTTGAACAGCCATGCCATTATAACCAGCGATTGTGAAACAGAATGGTAAAAGGATACTTGGGACAGAAGATCCAGACAATCTAGAAGAACCCACGAGGGTCTGCCATGAGTCCATTCAGGTCAATCTGGAAGAACCCATGGAGGGTCTGCCACGAGTCTATTCAGGTCAATCTGGAAGAACCCACGGAGGGTCTGCCACTAGTCCATTTAGGTCAATCTGGAAGAACCCATGGAGGGTCTGCCACAAGTCTATTTAGTTCAGAGTACCACATCCACCCGGGCCAGTCCAGAGCTATGAGGATCACCGGAATGCCCTCCATTCTGCAGAGCAAGTGAGCAAGGAGTTTCAGAGAAGGAAAGGAGAAAATTAGACGATATTGATCCCACAGAAACACCAGAGCATCCACTGCTTCCACCAAAGGATCTCTGCACCTGTCCAGTTTGTTGTTGAATCTGGAGTCCGTGGGGTCCATATCTTGCATCTACCACCTGGTACATGGGTCCTGAACACCTCTGGGTGCAGGTGCTGCCTGTTGAGAAGTTTGTCTGCCAATTGTGCACGCCTGGGAAATAAATGGCAGACAAGGTTTGACTGTGAAGATCCGCCCCCAAAAAAGAATTCTTTCTACCTTGCCTGCTGCGGCAAGACTTTTGGTTCCTCCCCGATGATTGATGTACACCTTAGCTGTGGCACTGTTCTTCGGACCTTGGCACATCCAGTGCAACCCAGTGCGATTTTCATTGCACAACATAATCTTATGTGATTTTTTTTTTCTATTGCATTTCAATGCAATTTTTCATTGTACGCTGCAATCCATTACAACGTTACATTATACAACACAATCAAGTGCAATTTTTTATTACACAATGCAATCCAGTGTAATGTGTAGTGAGCACTGCAATCCAGTGTGATTTCAATCCACACCACAATCCAATGTGCAGTGGGCACTGCAACCCAGAGTGCTTTTTACATCAATGCACAAAGAAAATATTTGTTATAAGGGACAGCATTTTTTGGAAGCGGGGGCGAAATCCAGAGCTGGGTGAACTAATCTATATACGGATACATTAGTCAAAGTTTTACATCGCTGATTTGATGCATTCCTACATACCTGAGCAGGACAAATGGCTTCACAAAGCTTGCAGGCGATACAGCGCTCCTCTCCTGATGGATATCTGCGAAGTGCATGCTCCCCACGGAACCGCGGGCTCAATGGACCTTTCTCAAATGGGTAGTTAATAGTGGCTGGCTCCCGAAACAAGTAACTGAGGGTCATTCCCAAGCCTGCAAAAGTAAAACCAAAATAAAGCTCTATGACCGCTATAGATTTAAGTCAACCTGAGATCTGCCCATGTAGGGAAAGCAACAGAATTACCATAATGGTGACCCCAAAGTACGTGAAGTGAAGACGCTATGTAAGCTTCAAATAATGACTTGGAGCTTACAGGAGACTGTGGACTGTCCTCCTGTCCCAATGCAACAGCCTTGGTGCTTACACAACCAATCATTAAACACCAGCACTGTCACATGGGAGAATGGCAGTAAGCAACATGATCCCCATCACCAGGAGTACTGGGAAGGTTTGGCTTGCTCCTGATGACCAAACTTAGCACTATAAAAAAGGTGAAAATATGCGGATGTTGGGGCCACCAATAAAGTAAACCTGTTGCTTTGCACCCTTAACTCATGAGAGGTCAAAGCCCAATCAGGACAGCTACTACTGAAGACTGCAATCATGAACACTAACTGTGCTCAAGTTGTTACTTAGAATGCCATTATCATACACATTTTTGAATATAGTGCCTGATCATACCATCAAAACCCCGATACCGGAACTTACGGTCAGAGGGAGATTCCCTTTGACCGGCAGTGCAGGGAGCATGGAGCCGTCTTCCTCACCAAATCAGAAACCCGGGCAGGGGGGTCATGACCTACCACCCAGCTTCCTGACTGGTCTGGAAACCAGACTGCCTCGCTGTGTCATGAGGGAGCGTGAAGCCTGTGTTCTTTCAATAGAACACTGGTTTACTGATAAGCCAGGCCCACGGTACTGGTAAGTACCGGAAAAAAAAAATAGGAGTCATCGGTACTCTTACTCGATACCGAAAAACCGATGTCCGAGCATCCCTGGTTTTAACCCCTTCCACAGCAAAGCAGAAAGGAACCTGGGAAATAACAGCACCCAGAGAATAAAAGGGAGCTGCCGATGCCCAGCCTGAAAGACCTTTTAAAAAGGTACGTTTTCAGAGACAGTGCAAGCACAGAGGCAATGCAGCGGCTCTTGACCTAGAAAGCTTTCTGCAGCCAACTTAACCAGAACCATTATGGTGTCTAGGCAAAGCCCAGTGCCAGAAAGTCACTTCCAGGCTTGTCCCAGAAGTCCAGATTTAGTACTATGCAAAAGCCAGGCTGAGGATGACCACATCAGAGAGCTGCAAGTCGGTGGAGAACATCAGCAGCCATGTCTTGATTGATGAAATAAATTGCAAGACAAAATCAGTCTTTAAAACAGCCGAGCTGAAAAAGATATCCACCTTCTTCAGGCACTAGTAAAAACCTGAGACATGCTGCTAGTAGGAAGGCCTGCAGTTTTTTGCTTGCCAGTGTCCAATTTGTCCTAAAAGGCAGAAGTATAATAATGGTACTATACTATATATTCCATACTAGAAGTATGGAAAATGGTACTAAAGGCAAAATGCTGCTGCTGATGAAAAAAAAATGGTACCAATGGCAGAAAATGGGGACACAAATTCAGTGCATCCCTAGCTTCTCTGCTCCCCTCTAATCCCTGCTGCATCTGCCAACACAGGCAGGGGAGGGCAGCGGGGATTAGAGAGAACACAGACCGGCGCCCAGCGGGGTAGAGAGAAGCTGTCAGGATGCTGAGCGGGGCAGTGCGGGGAGGAGAGAGCTGTCAGCTGTCGACAGGAGGCCGAGCTCTCCTCCCGCACCACACCGCTCTGCCTCCTGTGACAGGCGAGTCAGGATGGATAGCAGGTTACAAGCACTCCTCCACAGTAACCTAGTAAGCAACTCAGCGATCAGAACTGATTGCGGAGTGTATGTAAATATGCTTACGGTGTCCCCAAATATGAATGAACAGGAAGAGCTATACATCACTTCCTGTTCATTCAGCTGTACTTGTATACATAGTAACTGATACTAGCTCCTTAGTTAATGAATGGACAGGGACACTCAGTATAAAGGATTCCTGTTCATTCATAACAGGGGCTACAGAAAAAGATTTAGGACTCGTGTCCTCAATCTCTTCAGCTTTATTTTTAGCCTGATAATTTTTTTTTTTTTTTAATTTTTTTGGGTCTAAAAATTTCATTTCGGTGTCTCCCTACACAATGTGACCAAATTCTACTCGATCCAGCACCCCTTGATGAACGATGGGAAATTACTATTGAAAAGCCAATGTTATGGTAAAACTTTTATAAAGACTTAAGTGATTGGGTGTACTTTACCCGATTTCTGACTTAACTGGCCCAAGGGTATGTTTTACAAGTTTAGACTGTACAGTATGCTTTACTGGGGCAGGGACTGATATGAAAGGCTCTATATACTCTGCAAAAGTCCATTATAACTTGCAGGCGCAATACAAATCCAAGACATAAATAAGATGAAACATATTTTTTTTAGACTGCAGGGTCTAAGCACAACTCTTAAGAGAACTATGAGATGAGTGATTTCCACTCACCTCATAGTTCTAGCCGACCTGTGACAATGAGACTGTCACAGGTTGGCTCAGTAGATCGGGAGGTGAGCGAACACATACCGGCGTTCGCTCACCTCTCGATCCTGTCACTGCTCTCTGCCGTGACAGGGGAGGGGCTGGATTCCCCCCTCCCCGCCAGCGCTGACTGGCGGAACGGACGGGGGCGGGTACAGCTGGCTCTGCCTCTAGATAGGCAGAGCCAGCTGTCACTCATGCAGCTGGGCGGATCCAGAAATAATTGTCGGGATCCACTTCAGCTGTGGCGTCTCAGTATACGGCGAGCAGCAGCTCGCAGTATACTGAGCCTAGGGTGACGGGAGGACGCTAGTTTGTGTCCTCCCGTTACCCTAAGGAGAACTATGGGGAAAAGCCTCAACCCCATAGTTCTCCTTTAAGAAAACCTATGAACTCTTCCACGGCAAAGAAAAAGTAAGTAATTCCTATAGCGTCTCAGCACTTCCCTCTGTCAGGCACATGAATCTGCTTTAAACTCTTAGTTCTCCATTAGTGTATCACCTCTGAAAAGCTCTGTCCACAGCAACGTTTGAGCCGCTTTGTCGGTCACAGACTTTAGGTCAGTTAGCTCGTCTCTGGCATTTACGTACTCTAAAAAGAAAAGAAAAAAAGAAATGATTGTGAATTTCAAATGTGATTTTTCAGTTTGTTTGGCATTATATTTCATTGTATACAGTTTTCATCAGCAAATCGTGGTTTTTAAAATCTGTTGCAAAAAAATGTCTTACTTGGAAATCCTGCCAATGACAGCACTTTGTTTCTGGCTGACAGCAGGAAACTGCTTTGCAGTCAAGAAACACGGTTATAAACCAATTTCCTCGATACTCTCTAGAGGTTGAACTCGATGGACATGTGTCTTTTTTCAACCCGACTATGTAACTATTTAACGACAGATTACCCTGAAGGAATAGCTGGCATCTGCCAGGGACCCGTCCCACGCGAGTTTGGACATACTTGTAGGCTACCCCCAGGTCACTCAGCCATGGGCACGGAAGAGTGCAGGTACCCGGAGAGCTGAAGAGATGGCTGTGTAGAAAGTGTAGCACTGGTGGCCTAGGTATCACAGACTGAACAAGGGAGCACCGGCGACATTCGTGATACTAATAGCACAGTAAGCAAGGTACACAGGAAGAAGGGTGTACTAGTAGGGAGTTTTTTTGGAAGCTCTAGAGCAGGGGTGCCCACAATTTTTGTGTAAAGATCTACTTTCTGAATGATGAGCTACACGAGATCTACCAACAACAAAAAAAACCTCCCTCGCTCTCTCTCTCCTGGCTGTCTCTCCTCGCTCTCTCCTGGCTGTCTCTCCTCGCTCTCTCTCCCCTGGCTCATCCTCCTGGCTGTCTCTCCTCCCTCTCCTCTCTTGGCTGTCATTCCTCGTTTTCTCTCCTGGCTGTCTCTCCTCTCTCTCCTTGCGGTCATTCCTCGTTTTCTCTCCTCGGTCTCTCTCACCTGGCTGTCTCTCCTCTCTCTCTTTTCCTCTCTGTCTCTCCCTGTGCTCTCTCCTGGCTCACCCTGCTGTATTTTTCAACAGGCTGTGTAAACTAATATTCTTTGATGTAATACATAGCACTTCAACCACCAGAAAGGTGTCAGGGAGCTTGGCTTAGCAGACTCAGGCTGCAGTCACTGATCGGCCAAGAATTTTTGGGACTGCCTCCTTTTTCAATCAACTTTTGTCGAATGGGGGGGTCCTGACGGGTCCATGCACTAATCAACTTTTGGCTAAGTCAGCGGGATTTAGCCAATATTAGAGCATTGCATGTCCAAATTCACACTCCAAGTGGGGCAGGAGGGGGCGCGGCGGGCCATTGAAGTGAATGGCCTCCGGCCGCAATGCGATCTCCCGCACGGGATCGCAAGGCACATTGTGTCTGCGGTCCGGTGCGATCAAAATAGTGCTTGCAGCATCCCGTGCACGTGATCGCATTGCGGCCGGAGAGCTTGGCTACGGTGCCAGTCACTTCAATGGCCCGTCACTCCCCCACTAAAAAGTGAGCCAGCGGCAATGCGAGGCAGTGCGTTCTGGCCAGAATTGGGCCAGAACGCACTGCAACTGGTGTGAACGGGCCCTCAAATTAGAGTGGATGTAGGCTGCAACAAGCTCACTGCTAGCAGTAAAAACCCTCCAAAAGTCATAGCAGCACTGCTGGCAACAAGTGTGTGTGTGTGCGTGTGTGTGTGTGTGTGTTTTAAATCAGTTATAGAAATCCTTCAGCATGCTGAAGACATAGTGCTTGATTGATTAAATCTGCACACCAGAAAAGCATCCAAAGGGCTCATTCACACCTGTTGCAGTGACCAAGGCCAGTCACTGCAAAGACATGCAGAAAACATTTTGTTTTCCATGTATCCCGTTCAGACCACAATGCGGGTGTGATGCGGGTGTAGAAAAATGCTGCATTTTCTCGCCTTACACAAAATGGCACCAGAAGCCACTGACGCGTAATACATTGCACAACTGTGCAAGTGAAGTGCATGCTTTGTACACTGCCAATAAAGTTAAAAAAAGAAAAGTAAAACACATTGCTTACATGGTAACTAGGAGGTGCACCGAAAAAAATTTGTCAGGCCGAAAACAAAAATGTTTTTATTTTTTCACATTTTTTAAAAATATTTTTATTTATTCATTTTTTATTTTTAGGGGCTTCGGGGAAATATTAGGGATCTAAACAGACCTCTGGTATTTCCCTTTTAAAAAGAGAAAAATAGATTGTTAACACAAAGTCCTCTGCAGCCCCTGTTATCAATGAACAGGAATCCTCTATACTGAGTGTTCCTGTCCATTCATAACATGAGAACATTGTTTGTTTACTATAACCACAATCATGAATGAACAGGAAAAAATGTAGATCACTTCCCATTCATTCATAATTGAGGATATAGTCAACATACCATGTCCTCAATTATGTACAAACATCACTGAGTGTTTGTACTCGCTCTCCTCTCTGACACGCTGTCACAGGAGGCTGAGTGTGTGGGCGAGAGGAGAGCCCAGCCTCCTGTGAGAGCGCTGTCTCTGCCCCCACACCGCTCTGCCGCACTGTGATAGGCGGCCGAGCAATGTGGGAGGAGGGACACCGGCCGCTCACAGCGCTCTCCTCACGCAGCGCTCGGCCAGCTGTCACTTTCTCTCCTCCCCGCTGGAAAAAAAAGCAGCGCCCAGCGGGGAGGAAAGAAAGCAGAGAACTTTATCTGTTAAGAGTTAAGGAATATGGCGGTGTTGCCTCCCTGTCTCCAGCCTTCTGATTAGACAGTGAAGAAGAAGAAGCAGCCACACACTGATAACTCCTGTAACCTCCTGTAAAGCAGGACTCAGCCTGAAGGAGGAAGGTCAGTACTCTCAGCCAGTCAGGAATGTATTGGTTTTTCCCAATTAGACATGTGTACAGGATGGGATCACTGTGCAGCTGCTCCTTTATTATCCAATTAGCAGGCTGGGAGAAAAGAAGTGACTAAGGAGCCAAACTTCAGAAACATATGTAACATATAGTCACCCATCTCTTATGTGAGGGGTGAAACTGTTCACATGCTTCTAGTTACGAGGCTAAGACAAGAAAAAGATGTGGGGCATATAAATGGGAGCTTGAGGTCCCTGGCACCCCCCTGGATTGTCAGGCTGCCTTCTACATCCAAAAAAAAAAAAATTTGTGCAGCGAGTTCTCTGGTAAAGTCCAAAATAATAGGATAAAAAAGTAGGGATGCGCCAAAACATTTCGTCCGAAAATGGTACATGGGTAAAATTACGATGGTACCAAAACGGCCGAAAATTAGGTGCATGCCCAGTTTCTCTGCTCCCCGTTTGGCGCCTGTCTGTGTACCACCTCTGATCCCCGCCTGTGTTGGCAGAGGCAGTAGGGATTGGAAGAGACACAGAGCAAATTCAACTGCTGGCCACCAGCGGGGAGGAGAGAAGCAGACAGGAAGTCTAGAAGAAAAAAAAAAAAAAGTTATTTTTCGGTTTCAGCCTGAAATTTTTTTTTTTTATTTCGGTTTTGGTCTAAAAACTTCATTTTGGTGCCTCCCTAAAAAAAAGCTAGCCGTAAATCAATCCCACAGCCTTCACCTAAGAATGGGACAACCCCTAACGGCTCATGCACAAGCGTATGGGCATACAGTGTAAAACGCGCCTGTATCTGCAGGACCCGGGAGCCCCAGCTGCTGTGTTTTAGGATTGGACAGAATACGCTGTAAGTGGGTATCCGTGTGAAAACCAAAGTACTGACCTTCACACGTGTGCAAGTTCCTGAATGTGGAAGTGTTATCTTCAGGAACTTCTACGTATGCAAATACCAGTACTTGTGTTTACATGCATATACCCATGTACAGCATACTCTTCCCATACAATCCTATGTACAGAAAAACGCAGCAGCAGGGCTTCCCAGGCACGGCAAATTCAGGCCCACGTTACACAGTATACCCATTACCGCCTTTAATCAGATCACAGCGTGGCACTTATTAGCTAATCCCTCACTTACTAAATGAATGCATCTGAGGAGCCAGACTGAAAGGTCGGACCAGTGTCTGAGAGCATGGCGGACCTGCAAAAGAGAACCAGTAAAAAGAAAGAAAATTATTCACATGATAAAAAGATCAAAGATATTCATGAACACAATCGGCACTTTTTCTGTAGAGCCTGATGGGGCAATAGAAGATTTTGTGTTGGCTACAAGTGGCTTTTCACCCAAACTGCCACACAACAGGCAAAGCTATAAACAGTAAACCATTAAAAGTATACGAGACGTGCAGTAATGCACGCATCACACCCATATGCATGGGGGAAAAAAAATTAGAGTTAGGTACCTGGTAACTGTTTCTAGGAACCTCCCAGAACAGCATCAGAGAGAGATAGACTCCTCCCACCGGAACAGGAAACCCATCACCCACACCTAATAAAAAAGGATCACATGCCTTGCATACCTCAGCTAAAATATAAGAACTGAAGGATACAACACTGTTAGACCATCATCCATATATGCATTTAAACATAGTCCAATATAAAAACTCTCCAATATCGGGCGGGAATCCCTGCTGTCCTGGAAGGTTCCTAGAAACAGTTACCAGGTACCTAACTCTAATATTCTCTAGTCACCTTGCAGGACAGCATCAGAGAGGATAAGCGAGCACCATACTCACAATTAGGGGGGGGGGCCACAGCTTGCAGGACTTTCCTCCCGAAAGCCTGATCTTGGTTGACCGTTACGTCAACTCTATAGTACTTAACAACGTCAAGAACCTGGACCAGGTAGCTCTGATCTGGTGTAGCCCCTTCACTTTCTGCCCATGAAGAGGCCAAGGCCCTGGAAGAGCGTGCCGTAATATGCTCTGGTGGTTTTTACATTTTGTAGCTCATAAGCGTGTTTGATTGCTAATTTAATCCACCTTCCTATAGAACGTTTAGAAGCGCTCAGGCCCTCTTTTCGTCCTGAAAATAATATGAACAGAATGTTCCATTTCCTCATGCTCTTAGTCTTGTTCATGTACTCTAGCCCACAATGATGAACGTCAATGCCTTGTAAAGCTGCTTCTTCCTCATTCGATGGATTGGTACACAAGGAGGGAATTACCACACCCTGTGCTCTGTGAAATACTGAAACTACTTCAGGTAGAAAATCCGGGTCCGGCTTTAATACGATTTTGTCCTTAAGAATTGTGCGATAGGGATCCAAAATCAACATCACGTAGGAAACTTCAGGCTGAAAAAAGACAGAATTTAAAGGGCAGATGGGGGCTGCCCTGGATCCCTCAAGTCCACTGTCCCAGGAAAATAGGACCCATGACCAAGAGGCCCCTGCTCACTAGCACGAAGGCCTTTAGTGGAAAACAACAAACATTACGATGTACTGCATGGCCGGGGAAACAAATAAACTGAGGTATGCAAGGCATGTGGTCCTTTTTTATTAGGTGTGGGTGATGTGTGTCCTGTTCCGGTGGGAGGAGCCTATCTCTCTGATGCTGTCCTGGAAGGTGACTAGAGAAAATACCTTGTATGAAACAGACATCAATGCATGTCAATACTACATGTTGAAGTAGTAAAGTTTACCCAGTTTTAGGTAAAGTGAAGAAGGGTTAGATTTTATTGCTGTCTGTGTTCCTATTGGGAGCATTTCTCACCACTTCCTGTCAAGCCAACATCCGGAAGTAAAGCAAATGTATTCCTCCCTTAATCCATGCAACAGTAAAAACAAAACAACAAAAAACACACACAGACAAAAAGTCTATCTATACACATACACCTTCAAAGATCCTTGTAAAGACTAAATGTGCCTTTACTTACCCATATTAACCCCTTCATGACTGAGGCCTTTTTTTTTCATTTTTGGCACCCATGTTATATTCCACATTTTAGGCCTGAAGATTACTTAAATCCCCCAAACATTATTTTCTGAAAGCCAAGACCATATAGAATAAAATGGTGGCAGTTGCAAATGTTTATGTTGCACGATATTAGCGTAACGCCTTATCAAACCCCAAAATTTAGTGGAAAATGCACTTAAATGCCCCAAAACACATTGTTTTATTAAATATAAAAAGATGAGGTTGCAACAAGTAAATAGATACCCAACATGCCCAGGTTAAAAATTGTGTGCATCTGTGAACCGGCGACAAACTTCAGTACCCCCAAAAAGTCCATAGACGCTTTAAAAGCCCCCACAGGTGATTAATTTAGAGATAATCAAAAATACCGGCCCTAGAACTATTGCTCTCACTCCGACATGCGCAGCGATACCAAACATGTGTACCGTGTTCGTCTTTTTTATACGTAGGCACACCTGGCGCGTGTTTACGCGGCGACGCGTATGCTCGTGGGGGCGAGGGACTTTAAAATTATTTTTAGATTTATTTTATGTAATGTTAATTTTAAAAACTGTTTTGTTTTTTTAACTTTAATTGCTATCACATAGGGGGGCTTACAAGCCCGCCATGTAATAGCAGATGGTGGTGACAGGTACTCTTTAAGGTGATGCTGGGGGGTCCGAAAGACTCCCAGTGTCACCTTTACACTCCAAATAAGCTATTGAAGTGCAGATCGCACTTGGCTTCAGGAGCCCAGAACTGACAGCTATGGGACCGGAAGTGATGCAATCTGCATCGCTCCCAATCCCATAGAACAGGGAGGGGGAATGGCCGTAGAAGCGATCTGGCGACAGCTGAGTCGCCAGAATCGCTTCTATTGTAAAGCCGACAGTTTAAGCAGACTCAAAAAGCCCGGCGGCTTTTTGAGTCTGCTTAAACAGTCCCGCTGCTAGCGACATACACTGTACGTCGTTAGTCGTGAAGGGGTTAAGGGTGTAACATGAAACATGGTTACATCAACGGCTCCCCGCACCCACTTACCTGAATCCAGGGGTTCTGCTACCCACAGGCAACTGCTGTTTTTTGAAACTGACGGAGCCACGTGACCCATTCATAGATTCCTTGACAGGATCTGGGAATGGAGAAACTACTGTGCCAGAGGGACTTGAAACTCTCAATGGAATACAAATGCGGTGACATTACCCCGCTTGTAGTCCATTCATTCTTCCTCCCGTCCATGTTACAGAATGTCTGTACCGAGGAAGGGAGAAAGTCTGTAGGAGCCAGATAATTGCACTTATTGCGGTTGCAATGCTTTACTGGCTCCTATGCAAAATAATAATAATAATAATAATAATAAAAGCACAGTTATGTATTTTATGAATATGTGTGTGCATTGATTTATCTTCCAAAAGGTGGACTTTGGATCGAGTGCTATATAGGTGAGGTAAGTGGCCAGGGCTAGGCTTCAAGGCAAAGTGGCAAACAGGAAAACACTTTCTATATAGTTCTTTTTTTTTTTTAAACTAGTGCCCCAATATTAAATGTGTATTTGTAAGACAAGGATTGGACATAAACAGTACAAAACAGATATAAAACTTTAACAGAAATAGATGGACAAGAATGTGCCTGGTCTGTGGGGGCCACATGTCTCTAGGTTAAACCAGTGAGATATACACACACACACACTGCTTACCTGCTCGCCTGGCAGCATTGTAGATGAGACGAGCGCCCAGCATGCTCACTGTGTCTGTAATAACACCAATGAATAAAAGTGCACAAAATTAGTAACAGTAACGTGAACAAAGTCAAATCCTGTCTAAAGCTGGCCAGGATGTTCAGACAAATAAATAAAAAGAAATCTGGACATTTGATAATGCCATCAGAGACTTAACGAATGTCAATCAGAATTGCATTTGTTTTTAAAGTGACACCAAAGGGAGTTGAATCTTAAAAATACATTCAAGTACCTTATCTATTACCAAAATGATATCTTATTGGCTGTAGATCCTCCAATCATCTCTGAATTGGTGCTGACACTGTCTTTCCTTCTGGAGGGTGGCTACTTATCTTCCCCATGGTCCCTGTGTGTGTGTTGTAAAGTAGTCACCGCTCTTGTGCTGGACTACAATCTTAATACAAATTAGTAAACTAAACCTGAGATTGTAGTCCATCACAGGAGCGCTGACTACTTTACAACACACACAGGGACCATGGGGAACAAAAGTGTCCACCCTCCAGAAGGAGGGACAGTGTCCATACTTTAAGGCCCCGTTCACACCTGGGCGTTTTGTAGCGCGTCCCTACGCTCTGTAAAACACTCAAACACCGAAATCCCATTATTTCCTATGGGTATGGTTCCCACCTGGGCGTATTACAGGCCGTATGAACGCGCTACAAAACGCCCCACGCCCAAAGAAGTACAGGAGCTTCTTTGGGGCGTATTTGCCGCGCGTATCTATTGGGATACAGCCAGGTAGCCCTCGGAAACGCGCGTTTGTCGCATGTTTTTTTTACAGTGAATCGCGGTAGAAACGTGCATATATGCGATACGCCTAGGTGTGAACCAAGCCTAAGGGCCTGTTCACATGAGTTTCAGGTCCTGATCAGGTCCTCATCTGCATACGCGGTGCTATGTGTTTTTGCCGCGTTTTTGATGCGTTCCAGTTTTTTTTTTTGCTGGAGCGGGGCTATCAGTATGTTAGCTGCAGTGCAGAGCGTTTTTGACGCGTTTTCGGGCCGTTTCCTGACCGGAGAAAATGTGACATGCAGTGTTTTTTTGTCGTAAGCTGAACGGACTGCGCACGTGAGAACTGTAGCCCATAAAACACATAAGGATACATTGGGATGCATTTTTAGTGCAGGAGCGTACGGATCAGGTCAGCACAGAAAACGGACGTCGTGTGAACAGGCCCTCAGAGATGATTGGAGGATCTACAGCCGAGTGATACACAAGAAGATACATTCTTTTGTTAATAGTTAAGATACTTTAACGCATTTTTGAGATTTAACTCCTGAGTGTACTGTCACTTTAAACCTTCCGTTTTGAAATGAGTGGAATTACCAAAACAAAAAAAATCACTGTTAGAATTTTGTTTAAAAAGGAAATTGCCATCCTCCGATTTTTTTTGTCACTACAGCCAAAACGGTTCATCGATGAATTAGAGAATCGAACAAATGCGTTTTCACAAAACATTTTTTTTTTCCAGACAAAAAGTCTGCTGGCGTCTGGCCAACTTAAGGATCTACAGCAGGGGTGGGAAACTTTGCCACTGCAGCTGCGTTGAAACTCCAGCTCCCAACATGCTTCTGCCTCTGGGAGTCATGTCTGCGGCTGTCAGTTTTGCAATGCCTTATGGGACTTGTAGTGCCACAACAGCTGGAATGCTGAGGATACCTACCCTTGAGCCACGGCATCCAACGTACAAAAATCAGTTGGATGGCTATACATAGCTGCTCCTGAATTTAAAGCAACCCTGCCGATGTTCTAAAGCAGGGGTAGCAAACCTCCGGCCCTCCAGCTGTGGTGGAACTACAAATCCCATGAGGCATTGCAAGATTCTCACAGACATGACTCCCGAAGAGATGCATCATGGGATTTGTAGTTTCACCACAGCTGGAGGGCCGGAGGTTTGCTACCCCTGACCTAAAGTGTGAAATAAAGGAAGATACCGAGTACATATCTCTACTGCTGCCAGTGCCAGAGATCTGCTTCATCAGCTTCTGTAGCTGGAGAGTGACACTGAATGCAGGAAGTGATGTAATATACATCACTCCCTGCATTCGGGGACTGAGGAGATCAAAGGGAGACCGTATACTCAACTCCCTTTGATCTCCTGTCACAGAGCCGTGCTGGTCCCGGCCGCATCGGGCACAGCGGATCTCGGGACCGGCAACGGCAGTGACAGCTGCTAATACAAGCGATGGAGCGTCTCTAGAGACGCCCGATCGCTTGAATGTAAAGCTCCCGGCCGGCTGTGTAATTACAACGGCTGGCCGGGAAGCTGCTCGTCGGGCTCTGCCGTCCTCTCGTCGCAGACGAGTGGATTTTTCAAGCCCTGGATATATCCCATTCACACCTGCGATTGGGGATTCCTGTGTCACAAAATTGTGATTTCCTGCAGCAGGAATCCCTATTCTGGCGTTTACATGCAGCAACTGTCACCCATTCATGTTAATGATCAGGTGACAGCTGCAGAATGTACACGCCTGCATACCACATGTGATCGTATGTGATATGATTACATGCAGGTACAAAAACAATCACTATCCCTGGCAGACTACACAGTAGAAGAAGCAGAAGTCACTGATCACTGATGCTGTGACTTCATCTCATACTCGGCTGGTAGAGGAATGTTCTACAGATGTATGGAAGAAAGGACTTTTCTTTGCATGAGCTTGGCGTTACCCCTTATAAGCCTCGGTCATGCTTATATCATTGAAACCCCTCAATTTCAGCTGCAATGCTTACTGGAGACTCTCCTACTACTCTTCCGTCTCCCAGTCCAAACTCAAAATGGCCCATGCAAGTGTCCTACGGGCTCACGCACATGGCTGCTAGCAATGAGCTAGGCTCACCCAAGCCCACTCAAAACTGCCCCACCCAATCAGCTGCAGAGAGACATATTCCCCCACCCCGCAGCTATACGTCACAAAGGGGAAAGGAAATTGCGTTACTTGGGGGAATGAGCCCGCCACAACTGCCGCCACTGATTGGGCTAGGAGAGGGACGTTGCGGTCACAGTTATGACCTGGCTTGAGACAAACTGCATTTGCACAAAGCCCAGGCTCGTCTCTAATGGCCGCACAATGTAAATTGTGGCGTATATCCCCTGCCATGGAGCCACAGGTGCTGCGTGTAGCCTCCCATAAAAGTCTGAGGCTATACGCGGGTATATACAAATCCCCGAACACAGACAGTCTACACAAGTCTGGAAGATACCCACATAAGTAGGGAAGCTTAGAGCAGGATGTTGGCTCTGTAGCTTGTGTCTTCAAAAGCAAGTCAATGACAGATCCCATTATTGTTTCCGGACAGGTTTGGCATATACCCACATACAGCCATTGACTTTCATGGTGGGGTGATCCGCAGCAGCTGTGGTTCCCTGGCAGGGGGTAATACACTGGAATGAACATTGTACGACCACAGCATGAACCCTAAACAGGTTGTATCACTTATTACAGGGATAGCCAAACTCCGGCCCTCCAGCTGTGGTGAACCTACAAATCCCATGATGCATCTCTCTCCGGGAGTCATGTCTGTGGCTGTGAGAATCTTGCAATGCCTCATGGGATTTGTAGTTCCACCACAGCTGGAGGGCCGGAGTTTGGCTATCCTTGACTTATTATAACAGCAAACAGCTGCAGAAGTATTGCCATTATCATTATTATTACATAGTATTTATATAGCGCCAACAGTTTGCGCAGCGCTTTACAATTACTGCCATTGCATGTCTTAAATCTACAATTATGGCTGAACAGAGGATTTGCCGTTTACATTCACACCTTCAGTCAGGTAACCAAGTCAATAACTAGATTTAATAAGCTGATTAAACTGTACAATTTATTATTTGGCTGAATGTGTATATTCAGCAATCAGCTCGCCTCCACTGTACACGTTGAGTAAATATACAACACGTGGGGTGACATAAAAATAAAGAGTTCCTGGCACAAGGTTACATTATACTAAGAAGTATATTTAAATAGGGTGAACTAGGACATAAAACAGGCTACTGCGCGTGCGCAGTGGGTGTACAAGGGCTTCCACGCATGCTCAGTAGAGTCACGTGTCAACCGGCGCATGCGCAATGTCCTCCAGTTGTGCGTTCCACGGGGTACGTCTCTTGTGGTTACCCTTCTAGCAGCTATAGAAGTAATAGGGGGACAAGACTGGGAAGCGCATTGAACGCCACTAATACCCGCTTCTCCAAAACCTCCCTATCGGTTTATATTCCGTCCCTTCAGAGAAACGCCGGTGCTCACCTGACAGCTACCGCTGACCTTGCTGCTTGCTAGCGACCGTAGAAGCTGGCGGAAGCGGCGATTGGCCAAAGCCGACGTCATTCAGACGTGGAGGCGGGCTTTCAGTTTTACGTTTTGATATCTCCATTGGCTGGTTCTCCGACCACGCCTTACTACTATGCTGGTCACCGCCTAGCTTACCGTTGATTGGATGAAGGAGCATCTAGCGGTGATTGGCTTGCCTGGCTGTCTATTTATATTTATTCGAATTGTAATTGGTTTACAGTATCATTCGGAGGGAGCCAGGCTGAGGCTGTCACTGAGGACAGGTCACGTGATCGCCTGTCACCTTTTTTGGAACTAAAGTGTTATAAAAAAATGAAGATTGCTATAGTAATGACCACATATCAGTAGTATAATCTATTCCTTGTGAAGTGTAGCTGCCACGGTGAAAAGCCTAACCACATTTTATACTGAAATTCACTTTATATGGAAACTGAGTATGAAGCTGCACGCGCGCATTACAATCAGATGTATTGCAATCTCTGTCCGCCATCAGATCTACCAGTACTATGCAATTTTAAAGCCCTAAAAACAAACCAGATTGTAGCCAGCCAACTCCGTTTTTGTGTGACCACACACGTTACAATCTGATTGCACAATCTCCTTTAGATCTTCCTGTGACTATGCGCTACTGTTAAGCTTTGTGGAATCTGGGTCAGTGTGTGTCCCTAGTGTACAGGCTACTACAGGATCAGTTATATCCGTCTGCTCTGCTATAGCAGGGTTGTTTTAAAGGGTCTATCCGTACAAAACTGATATATTTCACGGCTCGTTCCGCCCATTTGACATTCTGAGCTGTCAAGTAGTATATCACATAGCATTCGGGAGCTCCAGAATGCCATTCGGGTCCGTGAGCAAAGGTGTCATATGAAAAATATTATGGGAGTTCCCGATTGCTATGTGGTATTTGACAGGGGAGAATGTCAAATGGGCGGAGCGAGCCCCGTGATGTCACGGCTCGCTCCGCCCATCTGTTTACTGTCGGGCCGAATGTCATTTTGTAGCTCGTTTTTGTCGTTTTCGGACGGTCGTCGTTCGACTGGAGTTTTTTTATTTCGGCGGGTCTGCGGGCATCGTGCATAGTGATTGACGCTGGATTACATCGATGGAGCCATTTTTTTTTAAATTAGTAGTCAAAAATGTACTTTTTTTTTTTCAATTGAAGGATTTTCATTAAAAGTGTGGTTTGTTTATTTACTCTGAATTCAAACCTTTAGTGAATGAGTAGGGGTACAAATACACCTTACTCATTCACAAGGGGGGGGCGGCATCTGGGTGGCCCCTTAATTAAAAGAGTACCCCAATGCAAATAAGCCCACTTGCCGGCAGACCCCCACAACCACTGGGTCAGAGTTGTGGGGAAGAGACCCTTGTCCCCATCGGCATCGCCACCCTCCCAATGCCAAGGAAACCTGGCCTGGAAAGTTTTTTTTTCTGCCCTGCTGGGCCTGTGCTTGGATCAAGGGTCTGGTAGGAATGTTAGGGGGAACCCCACGTTTTTTTTACCCATTTTTTGGGGCTGGGGTTCTCCCTTAAAATTCCTACAAGACCTAAAGGGCCTGGTATGGATTTTGGGGGGAACCCCACACACGTTTTATTTTTGTTTTAACTTGTTTTAACATTCCTACTAGACCTAAAGCAGACATCTCAACTCTCCCGGATGCTCCGGGAGTCTCCCGCTATTAGATAGCGGTTCCCGGACATTTTCTCTACTCGATCTAGCAGAGTAAACTTTTCCATGCTGTCTGTTTTTTTTCTGACATCGGGGCAGCCAGCTAACATCAGAAAAAAAAAAAAAAAAAGCCATAGGAATGCATAGCTAGATTGCTATTGGCTATTTCAATTTGCAATATCCAATAGCAGACTAGCTATTGACGGTGATGGTGGTCTTATTGACGACTGCCAGCGGTCATCTTGGTGATGGACGCCGGCAGATAGAGGAGGGGACGTTCACCCGGTGGGATAAGGTATGCCGCCGGTTCCTCTCCTGTCTCCTGACATTGTCGGGCTCTCGGTCCGTGACGGAGTGCACGACTTTTCATAGGGGGTGACACCAATATGACTGTCAGTCATTTTGGTGTCACCCCTCCAATGGTGGCACCCGTGTGTGGGCCGCACCCCCCTTGTGATGCCACTGACAGAGGGCACCTCCCTGAAAGGAGAAGGGCACCTCCGTGAAATGACTTATTTCAGGTTGGGATCCCTACTAAAGGGTCTGTGGTATGAATGGGGGGGAGGGGGGACACCTCACACATTTTTTTTCCTCTTCTGCAGGCTGTAAAAAAAAAAAAAAAATTCTTATGTCGCTTTGCTGCAACGCAATTTCCCCCAACAAACGGAAATTGGAATTTGGATTAGTTTGCATTCGTTATTTCTGTAATTCGGAATGTATCCAAATCTCCGAATGTCCAAAATGTTGTCTGAATTGCACATGTCTATTATTAGCCATACAGCTTGCATAGCACAGCTCACCCATTATTATCTGTACAACTCTCATA